AAAGTATCAAAGAAACATAGAATAACTGAGTTGGAAAAAGGCCATTGAGTCCAATCCGCTGCTCAGTGCAGGAATTTAAATCACAACAGATCTGCTTTGAACGCCTCCAGTGTTGGAGCACCATTCATCTCCCGAGATCATTGGTTCCATTGTTGTACAGTACTACTCTAACTGTTAGGACATTTTTCCTGATATTCAAGTGAAATCTGGCTTCCTGTAACTTGAGCCCACTGTTGCATGCCCTTCACTCTGGGATGATTGAGAACAGATCCTGCCTCTCCTCTGTATGACAACCTTTCAAGTATTTGAAAAGTGCTATCCTATCTCCCTTTGGTCTTCTTTTTTCAAGACTACACATGCCCAGTTCTTTCAGTCTTTCCTCCGAGGGCTGGGTGTCCAGTCCCCTGATCATCCTTGTTGCCCTTTTCTGAACATGTTCCAGTCTGTTGGCATCCTTCTTAAAGTATGGTGTCCAGAGCTGTATTTAAGTTCTAAAAGTATTTAAATCAGTAACTGCTTATAGCTAGGTAAAGGTAAAGGTTCCCCTTGACAATTTGTCCAGTTGTGTCCAACTCTAGGGCGCGGGGCTCATCCGCGTTTCCATGCCGTAGAGCGAGCGTTTGTCCATAGATAGTTTCCGTGGTCACGTGGCCAGCGCGACTGGACACGGAATGGCGTGACCTTCTCACCGAGGTGGTCCCTATTTATCTACTTGCATTTGCATGCTTTCGAACTGCTAGGTTGGCGAGGAGCTGGGACGAGCGACGGGAGCTCACTCCGTCGTGTGGATTTGATCTAATGACAGCTGGTCTTCTGACCTTGCAGCACAGAGGCTTCTGTGGTTTAACCCACAGCGCTACCATGTCCCTGCTGCTTATAGCTAGGGAACTGAATTATGACCAGACATTCTTACTAGGAAGTAAATTTGTCTCAGCACATACAGCAGATTGAGAATGGAAGGAGGCTATAGAGTCCTATGGACAACTGTACCACTCCGGATTGCAGGACAGATTGTACCACTTCAGACTGCATGGTGGAGGGTCACATTATTCTTTAACCTGAGCAGCACATAAATCATTTATTTTTGAGTGGAGTGACTCACACATGCTACAGGACAGGCCTAGGTTTACTATGAAACATAGTACATCTTGCAAAGAACTGAAATTGATTCTAGCCCTTTCCATGACAGCATCTGTATGAGTCCCGTTTTCGCAAACACTTTTATCCCTTTCACACTTGGACCCGAGTGCAAAAGTACTGTGCAAAGAGGGACTTGAAGCCATATGATTCTGGTACCTGTTGTGTCTTTGCTTTGTTGTGATGCTACAACAGGACTGGGATGCAGCCACTGCTGTGCAACATCGCCCTCTAGTGAGATTTCTTTGTTAGCACACTATCTTTTAATCTGAATAACTACACCTAGCAGTACCCTCTCAAGACATGTCCATCTGTATTATGCTTGCTCCAACATCTTGCCTACCAAGCTAAGGACAGTTTATTCTGACTGGCAAAAGCTGAGGGAGATCACCAGTCTCCCTGTCTGAGTTCCATACCCTGGACTGCCCCTTCATGGATTGCTGTCTTGTTGTGGCGAAGGGGCTTGAGTAATTCAGAGAAGCTATGGGCTATGTCGTGCAGGGACACCCAAGACAGGCAGGTCATAGTTGAGAATCCTGACTAAACACGATCCACCTGGAGCAGGAAATGGCAAGCCACTTCAGTATCTTTGCCAAGAAACAAAAGGCTAAAAGATATGACGCTGGAAGATGGGACCCTCAGGTCAGAAGGCGTCCAACATGCTGCTGAGGAAGAGCAGGGAAGCAAAAAAAAAATGCAAGGGAGATAGGGAAAGTTACAGAAAATTGAATGCAGACTTCCAAAGAATACCAAGGAGAGACAAGAGGGCCTTCTTAAATGAATAGTGCAAAAAATAGAGGAAAATAATAGAAAGAGCAAAATCAGAGATCTGTTCAAGAAAATTGGAGCTATTAAAGGAACATGTTGTGCAAAGATGGACATTATAAAGGACAAAAATGGTAGGGACATTACAGAAGCAGAACACATGAAGAACACTTAATGATTAAACAACAACAACAACCCTGGACTGATCCACTTGCAAAGCAGACTCTATAAAGCCATCTTCCAAGACATATACAGGTACACAAATCAAACTGTCCCTTCTTCCATTTTTTATCATGCCTATGAGAACACAAACCTTGATCAAACAAAGATTTAAGAGGAGATGCCCGTACTCTACCACTAGGGGGAGAATTTTTTTTAACCTAAGATGACCTAAGGTTAAAAAAAGAGCAGGAAAGGTTTTTTTTCCTGTTCTTATCTTGGATTTCTGTTCTCAAGTAGAAGCAAAATTTAGCAAATGGAGCTGTTCTTAAGTTGGATTGTTCTTAAGTAGGGACGTTCTTAAGTAGAGACCCCACTGTACACAAATAAAACTGTCCCTTCTTCCATTTTTTATCATGCCTATGAAAACACAAACCTTGATCAAACAAAGATTTAAGAGGAGATGCCACCACTATGTATATAACAAGCAGTCAGAGCATGGAAGTTGTTGCTCTTTCACACTATAATCTCCCAACTACAGTCTTCTAGGAGTTAGAATCTCTTCTCTCTCCAACAAAAAAGTATACTTCCTGTGCTCTGCAAGAAAGATTGGTGCTTTGAAGTTCCCCATCATCCACAGTGACCTGGACAGCAATCTCAGACAGGTCACCTGGTCATTGTTTTTTTCCACTTGATTCTTTTTAATTTGCAATTTTTTTCCAGTTTTGCAACTGTACATATGATGCACACTCGGATGCAACATGGACAAAATGGAGAGAGAGAGAGAGAGAGCAATACAAAGACAACAGGCTAGTTAATTAGGTCAACTGCTATGTCCATTGTGGTTTAAGCAACAAACTGATAGCCCTAACTAGGCTTTTGATGATGTGTGAATGTGCTCTTTGCTGGAAAAACCAATAGAAACAGTGACCTAAAGTATACCCTGAAAACTAGCAACTAGTTATCAAACACCACTGAAACCACAAAAGAAAAAGTAGCAAAACCAACACCAGGTACATTTATTGGAAAGAAAGTACCATAATTTGGGCATCACCACAGAACAGGCACTCTCTAAAAAGTAGCAAAACCAACACCAGGTACATCTATTGGAAAGAAAGTACTGTACCCAATTTGGGTTTCACCACAGAACAGGCACTCTCTCAAGGTGCCCCTCTGGCTGAAGGATCCTTGAAATATGTAGATCATAATTTGGGTGGAAATCCACATGGGAAAGGTGACCCCTTTATCTCACTAATAAATAAATAAATAAATAAAATAAGGTGCCCCTCTGGCTGAAGGATCCTGGAAATATGTAGATCATAATCTGGGTGGAAATCCACATGGGAAAGGTGACTCCTTTATCTCACCGGTTCCCAAATTCAAGTCCCCAAAGGAGAAGTTTCTGAACATTTTTCTAACTCAACCCCAGCACAAACACATCCTTTGCAAACCCTTTGTGTCCAGTTCTTGAGGCATCTCCTAAGCAGCAGCCAGTTCTGACATCACTGCCAGCTTTATGACTTCAGGCAGAGAGAATGTGACTTCTTGCATCCTTTATCAGCTTTCCACCCCCAGAAGAGGTTCACTTGTGGAACATCACAGGACTCAACGATGCCTGGCCCATTTTGCAAGTCCCAGGACGGTATGAAATTCGCAAGACCAAACCCCATAGAGGCACTATCCTATTAAACAACCAGCGAGCTGTCCAGCAGCTCTCCCCAACCTGACACCTTCTGAATGGGCTTGGCTACAACTCCCATCAACCATCCATCATAACGATGTTTGCGGGGAGCTGAGACTATGTGGGGGCCACTTCGGATGCAAGGAAGATGGAAGAGGACCTAATATCCTCTTTCCTTTCCTTCTTTACAAATTATCATAAGCAGACGTCAAAAGGGACAGGAAATCCAGGCTGATCATACGCCTGCATGCCAGCCACTCACTCCCTTGGTCCTGCTTTAGTATAAGTAAAGCTGCGGCTGACCAATTTTTGCACACAGAAAGATTTGATTCAGTTCATTTTAATAGTGGTAAACAGCTTTTTAAAAAAAAAATCAAGCAAAGCTGCTTATGGGATCGTAGAGAAAAGGTCTATGAAACTTTATGCTGTACTAGTCGATGTAAAAACAATACAGTAGTCGAGATCGTGCTGGATATGGTTACATGCATGCAAAAGGAACAGGGTGGGACGTTGTGGCTAATTGCAGCTATTTGGTAAGATGCCAGGAGATTGCCAGACCAATGCCAGGTGTGTGGGATCAGGCGTATAACTGGGGGACATGATGGGCATGCAACCCGCACCTGGATTTGCCATGGCAACTTCCATAATCGCTGTTGTGTGGCACAGACCTTTAAATATCTCACTGAATTCTGGAGAACAGATACTTGTGGCAACTTAAAAGCTAACAAATTTTATGAGGCATAAGCTTTAACACACCATGGGCTGCTTCAAAATCAGCAAAGCTTATGGGAAATAAAACTTGTCAAATATTTCTTTAGATGCCACAGGACTTGTCATTTCTTCAAGAGACGAATACGGCCACTTCTCCTGAGACAAAATTGTGGGGAGGAAGGAATTAACCAAAGGGACTTCGCCCCCCTCAGAAAAGTTGTTTAAAATTTTAAAAAAATAGGCATGGCAGTAATTAATCAGTAATTAATTACATAGGGTAAATGCTTCTTCAGGAGCAATTTGTGGGGAGAGAATGAGGACTAAATAGGCCTCGCCTGAAAAAATGTATTTTGTAAAACACGGTTTTGTACGTGTGTACGCTGTACACGCGTCTGGTCGCCTTTGGTCTCGCGAGAGCGCCTTCAGGCCCTCTCTTTTCCCCTCACGATTCTCCTCAGCCTCGTTCCCCGCCCCCCACTGCTATCTGCGCCTGCGCCACTCCCTCCAAAGTCGCGAGGCCCTTCCATAAACGGAAAGTGAGAGGCCGTATCGCTCTTTCACGCCGACCATAGAGTCTCTCCTTAAGACCATCGAGTTAGGAAACTAGGACGGGACTGGGCCGGCCGTAAAGCGCGCCAACCCACCGTCGCGCACGGCCGCCTTGGAAAGAGAGAAAAACCAACTCGTGGGAGGGAGGGGAGGAGAGCGAGGCTTCCCAGACCAAGCCACGCCCCCTTCGCCTCTTTCTCCTTCCTTTTCCCTCGGCCTTTCCGAGGAGCCGGCCGCAAAGCGAGGCGTTGGCGCGAAGTGTCGCGCTCTCCCCCTTCGTTCTGGAGCCGAGGGGGCGGCGGCGGCCTGGCCTGGCCTGACAGGAAACCTGGCTTTGCTTTACGGCTGCTGGATGAGGAGGAGCGGAGACGGGGAGCGGGAGGCGCTGCGGCCGCTGCTGAGGGGACTTTGGGGTGAGGAGGAAGAGGAGGAGGAGGAGGAAAAGCAGCAAGAGCCCGGGGCGGCGGCGGGGGCGGCTCGCGTGTGTATGGCTGTGAAGGAGTGAGGGGGAAAGAGGGTGACCCGGGTCTCTCCTTCTCACGTTCCCCGCTCCCCTTTTCTGTCTCTCTCTCCTTCCCCCCCCCTTCTTGCCGGTCTCCTCAGGACATGGCCGAGGTACCGTCTGGGCCTAGCAGCCTGCTCGCTTCGTCGCCGGGCACCGCCGCTTCCCTCCTTTCGCCCTTCCCGGGAGCCACGGAGGAGGAGGAAGAAGAGGAAGAGGAGGAAGAAAAAGAGCGGCGGCGGCGGCGAGGAGGAGGAGGAAGAGGAGCGGAGCACCCGCGACGGCGGCGCGCTCCCTCCCTCTGGAGACAGGACCGGCCGAGCCGCC